GTTACCCTAAGCCCTAAACCTTAGGCTACTTCTACCTGAAGCCCGGGTTGCTGTGACGGAAACGTACCTTTTGCGGCCATAACTCCCAAAGGGTTCGTACATTTATATAGACTTGGGCATTAGAGCAGTGACATATATTTATTAGATACTTGCATGGACCCTTTGGGACTGCTTTTGGTAGATAATCTAGCTTCTCGTTGGGGTAGATGGATTACAAATCCTTAGCTACAACCCCGAAGAGCCTTTCTCAACAGTACTCCGAACAGGGACCTCCATCATCTCCTTTTCTTTCCATCTGAACAGTCGTCAAAACTTGCGCAGAGGATATTATGCAAGGCTTGGACATGAAACCCAAAACGAGCCCAAACCCTTGTAAAGCGATGGGAACCCCTGAGAAGCGACACGCCCGCTCAAACCCGGTAAAGCAACGGGGAAACTTGAGATGTTATGACCAGTAGGCAGCTTTCAAGTTTAGACAGGCGCTCATATGTGGAGGTTTCCTAAAATTAGGGGTACCTTTTTGGGGGGTCCTTTTAACAAGGGTTATCGCATTTTGGGGTCTATATTGGGGTCCCCCTATTTTGGGAAATTACCATGTGTCCAGGGTGGCTAGGGATTCTCTTCTTCTGAGAACCCGGAGCTCGAAAGTATGGTCACACGAAGAAGCCCTAAGGGTCCAGGGACCCAAATAATGGGGTTTTAGGGCCCAAATACTAGAAATATTATAGTATTTGGGCCCTAAAACCCTATTATTTGGGCCCTATATACCCCTATATAGTCCCCATATATCCCTATATAGTCCCCCTATAACCCCCTTTAAAGGGACCCTATTATTTGGGTCCTTGGACCCTTAGGGAAGTGAAGTCAGGAGCCTGGTGTGTATCCCTGCACTGTGACCTTGACGTCGGACGTGGATATCCGCATCTACCAGTTCGAGGGTTTGGGGCTCAGTCAGTTTAGGGCTTAGGGTTTTGGGTTTTGGGTTTACCCTAATACCTACATTGGGCCCTACTGTTTGTAAATATTACCTACATTGGGCTATTTGGATCCCTAGGGTCAGGGCAACTGTGTACTATATAACCCCGTAGGGAGGGCGGCTTTTCATTTTGGTCTTGGTGAGTGTGCGTGTTATCGGGTTTGATAGGAACATGGATGAGTCGATGCATGGTGTGTCTGATTTGGGCAGAACATGTTTACTGCATGTCACCAGATGCTGCCACACCTACAACTTGCTTGTTTTGCTGTAGGCTTTAGGGTTCGAGGCATCTTGATCCATTTACAAATTTGTTATGGGGCTTGCATTGTATTGCATCCACGTGTTTGTACGCGCAGGGCATCTAGGTGTTTCAAGGTTTAGTGTCCCGTTGATGCTTTAGTTGCCTTGGGTCCAGGATCTGAGGGTCTCAGGTTTTTTTGCTCAGAGGAATCGGATATTGCAAGGTTCATGATTGCTTTGACAGGGCTTGGACAGGTGCAGAGGTAGAATGGGGTCTTAGCTTTGGATTGCATAGCCCTTCTATGCCCTCCTGGTCTCCCTTGATTCTTACAGGGATCCACTCCCCACTCTCCCTTGAGCACCAGGAAGTTTTCCTGCATATGCCTAGGCACGGGAACTGCGCCGAACACGCACTGTTCGCTGACCTTCACGACGCAAGCACGGTGTCTCAGCAGCATCGTGTTACGCAGAACTCTTGGGTAGCTACGTAGGTAGTTCAAGCAATGATGCTGCAAACTCCTGTATCATACACTATACACCAGCCCCGCAAGCCGTGTTCATGGTTTCGTGCTTTCTGTACTCCCGCACCATCCAAGGAAGCCAATCACCCAGGCGCGGGGCAAATAGATTGTGAAGCACGGGAGGTTGCGTTTCGGGATTAGGTTTCAGGAATTTGGGTTTTGGGAGTAGTTTCATGGGTGAGGCTTTTCAAGAATTGGGGGTTAGACGGGTAGAGTTTAGGGTTTGGGTGTAGGCTGCTGTGCCTCCCCCTCTTACGGATCTCTGTAGTAGTCCCTGTTGAAACTCTTCACAACTGTTCTCACAACCCATCCCTATTTCCTTAGAAGCACCAGGTAGTAGCCTCACTTGCGTACACTAAGCTCTTTGTTGTTCGTCTCTATTGTCCATGTCGAGCATGCTCCCACCTACCACTTGCACACATCCGGCAGGAGATTCCGATTGTGAACCCCACAGACAGGGAATGGGTGACTTGGGCGCAGGTCAGATAAAGCTTGAGGGAATTTACAGGAAGCCTGAAAAGGTCAGATTGAGCAGACTTCATCTTGGACGGGTTTTAGCACATGTTTTCAGTTCATTTTCCATCTCATTTTCCATGTGATTCTCCACTATGGGGGGAGTAACATCCCTAAACCCTATATACCCGGTTTGGGGCCCTTATAAGCCTACAAACTCTTACCTGCGAAACGCGGCCTGCAGTCAGAGACTTGTTTTGCTAATTTTTCAGGTGCAACCTGGGAGCGCACAGGCTTTTGGGGTTGCAAAATGGCGGACGCATAATCCTTGCCTCCCATGTGGGATGCACACTGTGGTGATTTTACAGGTGCACGCAAAAAGGATGCCCCAACCCACAGAAACCACCAGACACCCTCAACTGCATAAACCTGCATGTCATCGCAGTTTCCATGTGATATTCCATGTTCTCTTCCAATCGATTTTCCGTAATTGGGGTCATATAGTGCTTCAAAGATCCCCAGGAAAAGCCACCACCTTCCCCAGGGTCCCTAAAAACTGTCTTGGTTTGCTGAACTTGAAAAAAATCCAAGCATTTCGGATTTAGGGTTTCAGGGCCTCGGGGTAAAGGGTTTCAGAGCTGTTGGCCTTTCAGTGTACCCTAAACCCTTAAGCCTTAAACCCTAAACCCTTAAACCCTAAACCTAAACCCGAAACCTACGTCACAAGGAGTCAATGCTCAATGCTTAACAAGCTCGTGCCGCTTGGGGATGCTTTGGGGAGGGCAAACACTACGGTGCGTAGATGCCAGGTAGGAAAAACCCACGTCAGAACAACCAGGACCTCCTTGTACCCTTAATTGGGGATATATGGTCCCTAATAGTAGGTACTTAGGCCCTAATCGAGGGTAGGAGGACGGTCTAGGAAGATAGCATCCTACAGTCCCACATTCTATTACGGATATCACTTGTGTTTTCTAATGCGCCTACCGAGCATAATTACACAGGCTGGGGGGGTAGGCCTAAAGCTTGTCCTTCATCGACGGAGGCTTTGCTAATGTCAATGAACACATGTGCTTGATACAAGGTAGGCTACAAGTTTTACTTGCCCTTTGCCCCAAGTCCTCGACACTAGACCCTGAACTAAAACATGTGAGCCAGAAATCCTGATCCTTCCACCCTATACATCTCAAAAACACATTTGAAAAGATCTCAGGGTACCCTATTGAACCCTTCAACTACTGACTTGAGGCGATCAAACCCACCTTCTCGCAAATCGGCCACGAGTTCGACGGTCCCAGGGAGTTCTTCGCGAAGAAGAAAGGGGCTGCGGCCCAAGAAGAGTATTGCCTGCACCTGCAGTAACATGGAATCCAAAAGGGACCTACAAAGACTATTGTCTTTTGGGAAGAGCCCTACTGAAATTTGGATGAGCTGCGGTCACAACTTCTTCAACTGCTGTCGTACAAGAACCCAATAAGTAGTTCATTGCTATACTTCGCGAAAATGCCGCCCAAAGCACCCTACTGCAGTTCTACATGACCCAAAAAAATCACTTGAAAAGTGTGCTGCTGGCACAATACATCGAGCGCAAAAGGATGCCTAGATTGGAATGGGGTTTCGTGTTTAGCGTGACATTGTCTCATGAGATCGCTTATATTACCCTACTTCGCCTCTTGAAGCCTAAGCCCTAAACACTATAACCTAAACCCTGAGTCAAGGCCACCGGGCAAGCCACCGTGACGACGTACCCGTTGACCTTCAAGCCCGAGTGGGTTTGTGATGTCAAGGCCAGAAGATGGCTAAGGCAGTTTAGGGCCTTTAGGGTCTTTGTTGCTTTAGTGTTTATTTTAGGGTTGTTAGGGTTTAGGGTATTTAGGGTTTAGGTTTTCTCGGGGTATTCGTATATATGGGGGAATCTCCGGACAAATAGGGCGAAGGCATACATGTCTTTTATGGGGGGGGGGGTCAGGGCTTAGGGTTTGAATTCGTAGGAATTCCTGAACCTGGGTTTCACTTTTTGCCACTGATGATCCCCGAATAAACAGCTTAACAACATGTGTGGGGGGGGGGGGTTCCGGGCAGAGTCTGATCACTTGGGGGTTAACCCAAGTGACGCGTGGGGGAAAAAGAAGATCTTATGGAGGGATAGGCATTCTGCAGGGATCATTCTGAGTAACTCTTCGCTTGTTCTTCTGCGTTGTTGGTTTGCAGTGGGGAGGATTTGCATGGAGTTGCGGCGGGTGTGCTTGCCCGAACTTTACATCAGAGGACTAGCAGGACTACCAGGCATATGTCTCCGTGCAGGTAGGGGCCCGCCAGATGCAAGCTGGGTTAAAAGTGGGTTATAGGGGGGAGAAGTACAGTTGTAGTTATGGAGTTTGTAAGCAGAGGTGTGTAACTCTGCTGTGGGGCATATATTTCCCCTGCCCCAGAAAATCCCATAGCAGGGGTCGTCATGTGGCTCCAAGTAATGAGTTCTCTACGAAGTCTCCCCAGACATGAAGAGTTTGTATCGGTTGCAGCCGCATCCAAGGAATGGTTGCAGTCCTGCTCGCTCATGCCATGGCCCATACCATGAGCATACACCATAAGAATCAGCGCTAGCGTTGTTATGGTCATGCTCTTTGTCGTCATGCTGATTAGTGGAAGGTGCTTCTTCCTCCTTATGCTGCTGTTGTGGAGTGCTCTGACCGCATGATATTTCCAAGTTGTTCGTTGTTTTTTGTCCCCTTGCCTTTCTGTTGAGACTGCAATTTGGAAACCAGCTGGGCATTGAGCCCCCCTGAACCCCTCCATCCTAAGCCCCAAAAGGTGGTAGGCGTGCTCAACAAGTCCTCATACAACAGTCTCAGCTGTTGCAGGCGCAGCTGGTGCTCTACAACGTAGGCACCAATGAGACCTATGAGACCGGGCTCCCAGCAATGCCAAGAGGGGACAATTCCTGTATGATATACTATACGATATACTATAGAACATATTGGAAAAGGTTTATAATGCAGAATATACATTCCATCATTCATTATAACAAACTATATAAAATGCTAGACTTTACTATATTATGTATTATAATATCCTATAACGCAAACAGGAAAAATGCCGAATCGGTTTTTACCCAAGGTTGTCAGGTGCACTTCATGAGATTATAGGCTTTAGGGTTTAGGGTTGCAGCTGTCACGTAGAAGTCGGACAAAGAGCCATGTGTCTTGCTAGTCGTTCTCACACAGCTAACATCCAGCGATTCTGTTCAGGAGCGTTGCGCAGGATACGTGAGGGAAATGCAGGATTGCAGGAAATCAGGGTATTTGGTGCATGTATATATATACATATATACAGGATTCCTCAGGAATATCATTCAGTTCCAGTTTGGGGGAACAATGAGTTAAAATCCTACCCTCAACCCTAAACCCTATACAATTCCTATAGTTTTCATTTTCTTTTCTATTATCACTACATCGAACCACTATGCCCAATGGGCGTCTGAGGTACGATTTGCACGGCATCGCTGAGGAGCCGCTGGCAGAGGAGCATGTGGTTGTGAAGCAGCCGCCTAAGTTCATGTGGGGGTTTCTAAGACCCCCAAGAATGGTCAAATGGACAGGAACAGGGGAAATCTGACTCAGAACTCGGATGATATTGTAGTATGTGGGGTTTAGGGTTTCCGCGGTGTGCAGGCGAGGATGCTTCATGGTTTAGGGAATATTATTCCCTTATTGAACCCATATAAAACTAGCAAATAGCTTCCAAATCCGATTCAAACTATAGAGGCTCCTGTGTTAGGCAGAGCCATAGTCAGACCAAATATCGACGCCATTGAGGCCTCTGCGCACAGAGCGCATTGGCGTTAAGGGTCCGAGTAGCAAAACAACATTGGTGAGTTAAAAAACCAGAGGCTTAGGGTTTTATAGATCTATATAGTAGTTTCCATTTTCTTCTCAATTATCCCGACATAACCCCAATATACTTTATAGGTCCATGAGTTCTAGGGTTAACGTACCAGATGCTGTAATCTGAATGTTGTCAATTTAGGGTTTCATGCCTAGGGTTTTAGGGGTTCTAAAAGCAAGAGACCTTTTGCAAACCCCAGGGCCCTGAGGTTGAGGGAGCCATGGAAGCATCATCAGCTTATGGGGGGACTTGTTTGAGGGGGGGGGGGTTAGGGTTTAGGGGTGAGGGGGATCCGTTGGGCATAATTTTGGGGAATTTTCATCGATGCAAGTAGGTTCAGGCTTCCATCCAGTGAAAATGGTATAGTAGTAGTTTGGAGGAACCCTCATATAATTGCCCTCATGTCGTGGTGGTCATCCTCAGTGGGTAAATGCCTAACCTAAAGTACAAGCAAGGCAGAACTTCTGTAGAAGGAAAATGGGTATCTTGGGATCTCGTAACAATATACCCAAAGCCATCCAAAGCCATATTCTATCTACTGTACTTAAGGGGGACTATTAACCCTAAATCCTAAACCCAAAACCCTATCTACTTAAGGGGGACTATCAACCTTTTTCGACAAGCCCCAAGTTTCCGTGGATCTTCTCAGGTGTGAGGCGAGGGAGAAGACCTCACACGTCTTCTCTGCAGGGTCCCCAAGTGGTGGTTTCCCAAAATTAGGCGTGCCGGTTTGGGGGTCCCTATAATAAGGATTCTAGTTTTGAAGAGCCTACATTGGGGTCCCCCTATCTAGGGAAACTACCAAGTAGAGAGCGTTGGGATTCTTGAACTTTGTGTCTGCGTCAGGGCCCCAACACCCTAGACCGTAAGGACTGACCCAACAAGGGTGTTCCTGCAGATTTCGACCCTTTCAGGCTTGTATGCCTGATCGGCGGTTTAGAGCCTGCGCTTCAGTGGTCCTTGATAGCCACGCTTGAGCGGATGGAAGCTGAAAACAAGGAATACAAGGTAGTCGGGTTAAGTCGTCTCACCTTGTGTAAAGTCGTCTCGCGCAGGCGTGTACATGGGGATTCCGCATACAAGCTCGT